AGCAAACTCAGGGAGGCAGTGAAGGACAGGAAGGCCTGGCACAATATGGTTCATGGAGTCACAAAGAGTCGGACACGACTTAACGACTGAACAACAACAACAAAGTTTTTCTGACTCTAAAGGGTTAATCATCTGTGTCCCAGAGTGAAACACTTGTTGCAGTGCTGCTTCAGGTACACCTTCATGCTGGACATTGCTCTGTCAGTTCTGTATGTGGGATTCTCACATTAATAAGCTGCATCAAGTTAGGGAAGATAGTACTACTGGGTCAGCAGCCTGGTGGCCATGGAATATTTTGAAGCAAAACTCCCGTATTTCCTACTTAGTCCTTACCCCTTATTATTCCCAAGAAAGCTTATGTCACAGGATAACTTCTTCTATATATTTGTTGAATGAACAATATGTATGCACTACTCTGGCTTTTTTGAGTGTCTGACTCAGATTCATCATCCTGGGTTTAACTGAGAGGGTTCAAGGGATACTCTGTTCCTCCCAAATGGAATGATATGCACAGCAATAAAGTTCCTGAAATTATCAATGCCTAATTATATATTTTTGCATTTTCCAGATCACCAATCAGATGTTTATTAGGTTTACAGCTTAAAGAAAAGTTTGACCTAGGCTTTGATTTCATTCTTTATTTGTCCATATTTTTCAAGAGCAATATTACATGATAGAATGTGTTCAGTAAGAAAAATAAAGCTAAACATAAGAAACAAAATATCCACTTCATACCTACAGAGTAAGAGGGGAAACAGTTCTAAATAAAGCAGAATGTGTTGAAGATTAGGATCCCGAGGTTCCCTTGCAAAGTCAAAAGGAACTTCCTCTTCTAATTCCTGTTTTCCTCCATGTCTGGAGGAAGTAGTCAGGTAGGCACGCTGTGTAGCATTTTCCCATTTTCTAAACGTATCTTCTCATCCTTTCCGGTAAGTAAATCTTGGATCTGGATTCCTGCGGAACAAAGACAATTGGAAATTGATAATTTGAATATCTCTTTAAAGAGTATCCATGTACTGAGATAATTTAGCTGTCCCCAAAATAAACCTTCCTAACTTTTTGCATTAAAACTCCCATCTGATGAACAGTATAGGAGCTGAAATCCTAACATATATAGAGGGCACCTCTTTATGAAAGGTCGCCCTACAATATTCACTTGTTATTACCTGAAATACTAACATTTGCAGGAAATAAAAACTAATCCGAAAAATATATAAAGTAACATCATTATTCTTTATAAAGTAGTGCATTTGCTGCATGTAACCTCTACAATACAATTTCTCTACATTCTGTGTATATTTTTGTTGGCAGCCAGACCCTATTTTATTCTTAACCCAATGAACCTCTGCTCCAGAAACATAAAAGCAGATTCAGTCCTTGGGCTCTTCTTGCAGGCAAGTATATACCTTAGCTCTGATATATCATTCAAATAAAATGAACAAACTAGTCACTGTAACTGTTCTGTTATAGGAAATTAATTATTTAAACAGCTAAACAATATGTGAACAACCCACTTAATGAAATTGTCACGTGATGAGACAGTGTAAAACAATGCATTTGCCTTTGTTGTTTGCAGTGGTGAGTTATATTTCTAATTAGAGTATTAAATTAAATGGCTTTGAGTATTGGGGAAAAGGAAGATAAAGGTGATTAAATGAAATACAAGAATGCTAGGAATTAAAAGCTACCTTCAGTATTCATGCTGTGACAACAGATACAGTTTTTTTGTTTTGTTTTTTTAATCTGCGCTCAGTCATTACCGACCCTGCAGTGACTGCTTGGACGAGTCCTTGCAGTTTTCAA